TACCGGGACTTGAACCCGGATTGCCAAATTCAAAGTCTGGAGTGCTAACAGAACTCTACTAGTGGGTACAAAGTTCTACCGGGATTTGAACCCAGATTGCCAGATTCAAAGTTTGGAGTGCTAACCGTTACACAGTGTAACTTACACTATAGAACCGAAGCCTGTGTATTGTGCTGCTAATTGGGCAAGTGTCCTGCACATGGCAAAACGCGTAACATTACCCTACTAATATGTACAAGGTTCTACCGGGATTTGAACCCAGATCGCCAGATTCAGAGTCTGGAGTGCTAACCGTTACACCATAGAACCGAACCACATATTTCATGCTGTTGACCAGGCGGATGTCCTACACATGGCAAAACGCGCCACATTACCCTACTAATCGGTGCAAGGTTCTACCGGGATTTGAACCCAGATCGCCAGATTCAGAGTCTGGAGTGCTAACCGTTACACAGTGTAATACACTATAGAACCGAAGCCTGTGTACTGTGCTGCTAATTGGGTAAGTGTCCTGCACATAGCAAAACGCGTGACAGTACCCTACTAATAGGTACAAGGTTCTACCGGGATTTGAACCCAGATCGCCAGATTCAGAGTCTGGAGTGCTAACCGTTACACTATAGAACCGAAGCCTGTTTACTGTGCTGCTAATTGGTAAGTGTCCTGCACATAGCAAAACGCGTGACAGTACCCTACTAATAGGTACAAGGTTCTACCGGGACTTGAACCCGGATTGTCAAATTCTAAGTCTGGAGTGCTAACAGTACTCTACTAGTGGGTACGAAGTTCTACAGGGATTTGAACCCAGATTTCCAGATTCAAAGTCTGGAGTGCTAACCGTTACACAGTGTAACGTACACTATAGAACCGAAGCCTGTGTACTGTGCTGCTAATTGGGTAAGAGTTCTGCACATAGCAAAACGCGTGGCAGTACCCTACGAATAGGTACAAGGTCCTATCGGGACTTGAAACCCGGATTGTCAAATTCAAAGTCTGGAGTGCTAACAGTACTCTACTAGTGGGTACAAAGTTCTGCCGGGATTTGAACCCAGATTGCCAGATTCAAAGTTTGGAGTGCTAACCGTTACACAGTGTAACTTACACTATAGAACCGAAGTCTGTGTACTGTGCTGCTAATTGGGTAAGTGTCCTGCACATGGCAAAACGCGTAACATTACCCTACTAATATGTACAAGGTTCTACCGGGATTTGAACCCAGATCGCGAGATTCAGAGTCTGGAGTGCTAACCGTTACACCATAGAACCGAACCAAACACTTCGTGCTGTTGACCAGGCGGATGTCCTGCAGATAGCAAAACGCGTCACAGTACCATACTAATATGTACAAGGTTCTACCGAGATTTGAACCCAGATCGCCAGATTCAGAGTCTGGAGTGCTAACAGTACCTTACTAATATGTACAAGGTTCTATCAGGATTTGAACCCAGGTCGCCAGATTCAGAGTTTGGAGTGCTAACCGTTACACCATAGAGCCGAACCACACACATCGTGCTGTCGACCAGGCGGATGTTCTGCACACAGCAAAACGCGTCTACAGTACCTTACCAATATGTACAAGGTTCTACCGGGAATTGAACCCAGATCGCCCGATTTAAAGTCTGGAGTGCTAACCGTTACACTACAGAGCCGAACCACACACTTTCCTCTGTTGACCAGGCGGGTGTCCTGCACATAGCAAAACGCGTAACATTACCCTACTAATATGTACAAGGTTCTACCGGGGTTTGAACCCGGATTGCCAGATTCAAAGTCTGGAGTGCTAACTGTTACACTATAGAACCGAAGCCTATTTACTGTGCTGCTATTTGGGTAAGTGTCCTGCACATACCAAAACGCGTGACAGTACCCTACTAATCGGTGCAAGGTTCTACCGGGATTTAAACCCGGATTGCCAGACTCAAAGTCTGGAGTGCTAACCGTTACACTATAGAACCGAAGCCTGTGTACTGTGCTGCTGATTGGGTAAGTGTCCTGCACATGGCAAAACGCGTAACATCACCCTACTAATATGTACAAGGTTCTACTGGGATTTGAACCTAGCGGTGTCCGCATATGCAACATGCTAGCTGGCACCGGGTGGGATTCGAACCGGGGTTGCCTGACTGGCAGGCAGCACCAGGAACCTGTTCAACTACTAGTACTTTTATGAAACTGGTCGCTGACGAGCAGCGACTTATACTCTGAAGGA